TCCACTCACCTCAGCCTCCCAAAGGCGCGGGATGACAGGCTGAGCCACTGAGCCTGGCTTAACTCAAAACTTTTATGTGGCAAGAGTTCTCCATCATGAAATGAAAAGACAACCCACAGAATGGAAGGAAATATTCACAATCCATATATCTGATAAGGAATTAATGTCTAGGATAGCTAAGGAATTCCTACACCGCAATACCCAAACCAAAGAAAAACTCAATTCAAAACCCAAGCAAAGGACAATCAATGAGCCCTTGAAAAGATGCTCCAATCACTAGTTCTTAGGGAAATGCACATCAGAACCAAAGTGAGCAGTGGCTCATGCCTGTAATCCCAGCAATCTGGGAGGCCGAGGCAGGAGGACTGTGTGAGGCCAAGAGTTCAAGGCCAGCCTAGGCACAATAGTGAGACCTCATCTCTACAAAATTAAAGAATCAGCTGGGTGTGGTGGCGTGTGCCTGTAGCCCCAGCTACTTGGGAGGCTGAGGCAGAAGGATGGCTGGAGCCCAGTAGGTCGAGGCTGCGGTGGCTGTGGTCATGCCACTGCACTCCAGCCTGGGCAACAGAGTGAGACCCCCCCAAAAAAACACAAAAAGAACAGAGTGAGATACCTCTTGACATTTATTAGCATGGCTTTTACAAAAGACGTTTACAAAAAGGCTTGGAAAATAAGAAGTGGCAAGGATACAGAGAAGCCTGACCCCGAGGGCATTACGGGTGGGAATGAGAAATGCAGCCATTACGCAAAACAGCCTGGCCCTTCCTCAAAAAGCTGCCCCTAGAACTCGTGGCCCATCCACACATGAAAAGAGAGGAGGCCCGACACAGGCCACCTGGTAGATGGGCCTTAGGGACGTCGTGCTGAGAGACCCAGACACCAAAGGACATTTAGATGAGATTCTGGGCCAGGCGGGGTGTCTCACGTCTGTAATCCCAGCACCGTGGGAGGCCAAGGCAGGAGGATTGCTCGAGGCCAGGACTTGGAGACTGGCCCAAGTTCAAGACTAGAACTCGTCTCTACCAAAAAAAAA